CCAAAAAAAAACCCTTAGAGGGGGAACAGCCTCGTCCCTCCCCCGTGGGGGGGCATCGGTGTCATGGGACCCCCCCATAGGGAGGGGGGTGTTTGGGGGGGGCTTCGTGCCCAGGAGTGTTTTGGGGGGGTCCCATTTGGGGGGGGGGGCACCCAGGTGATGGGAGGGTCCTAAAATATATAGGGGGGCCCAGACCACCTGGGGGGGGCACCCAAACCCTCGGGGGGGGTCACCAGATGTAGTGGGGGGTCCCATGGGGAGGAGGGGGGGGAGATTAATTTGGGGGGGGTCTGGATTTTGGGGGAGGCACCCAGGTCCCTTGGGGGGGGGGTCAGGATGGAGTGGGGAGTCCCAGGTTGGGGGGGAGGGCAAGTAATTTGGGGGGGTCTGGAGTTGGGGGGGTACCCAGGCCCATCGGGGGGGTAAATAATTCGGGGGGGTCTAAAGCTGGGAGGGGACACACCGGGTCCATTGGGGGGGCCCAGTTTGGAGGGGGGCAACTGATTTGGGGGGGTTGGAGTTGGGGGGACACACACCCAGGTCCTGAGGGCAGGGGGGGGGTTGTGGGGGCCTCCCCGGGGGCGCTGAGGGCACTTTAGGGGTCCCCCACCTCCAGCAGATTTGGGGGGGGTCCAGCTTTTGGGGGGCCCCATTAGCAAGCGGGGGGGGGGCCCCAATCATGGGGGTCCCTGCCTGGGGCAGCTGGGGGGAGATCCTGGCAGGGGGGGTCAGTCCTGGGGGGGTCCCCATTCCTGGGGGGATTCCCCAACCCTGGGGGGGTCCCCCACAGCAGGGGAGAGGCACAGTCCTGGGGGGTCCCCCAATCCCTGGGGGGTACCCCTGACCCCAGGGGGGTCCCCAATCCCTGGGGGGGTTCCTCGATCCTGGGGGGTCCCCCGATCCTCGGGGGGTACCCCTGACCCCAGGGGGGTCCCCAATCCCTGGGGGGGTTCCTCGATCCTGGGGGGTCCCCCGATCCTCAGGGGGTACCCCTGACCCCAGGGGGGTCCCCAATCCCTGGGGGGGTTCCCCGGTCCTGGGGGGGTACCCCTGACCCCAGGGGGGTCCCCAATCCCTGGGGGGGTTCCCCGGTCCTGGGGGATGTTCCCGAGTCCCAGGGGTTGTTCCTGGTCCCGGGGGGTCCCCATGGGGGGGATCCTTGGTCCTGGGGAGGGGGTGGGGGTTTGCTGGTCCTGGGGGAGACCCCCCAATCCTGGGGGAGGTCCCCTGCCCCCGGGGGCTGTTCTCCATTCCTAGGGGGGCGTTCCCCATTCCCAGGGCATGTTCCCCATTCCTGGGGGGTGTCCCTGGTCCAGGGGGTCTCTTTTGGGGGGAAGGGGGGGGCCCCATTTCTGGGGTGGGTTCCCCATTCCTGAGGTGGGTCCCTGGATCCAGGGGGGGGGTGTCCCCGATCCCGGGGTCGTTCCCCATTCCTGGGGGGGTGTCCCCGATCCCGGGGTCGTTCCCCATTCCTGGGGGGGTGTCCCCGATCCCGGGGTCGTTCCCCATGTCCTGGGGGGTGTCCCCCGATCCCGGGGTGTTCCCCATTCCCTGGGGGGTGTCCCCGATCCCGGGGTCGTTCCCCATTCCTGGGGGGTGTCCCCGATCCCGGGGTCGTTCCCCATTCCTGGGGGGGTGTCCCCGATCCCGGGGTCGTTCCCCATTCCTGGGGGGTGTCCCCGATCCCGGGGTCGTTCCCCATTCCTGGGGGGGTGTCCCCGATCCCGGGGTCGTTCCCCATTCCTGGGGGGTGTCCCCGATCCCGGGGTCGTTCCCCATTCCTGGGGGGGTGTCCCCAATCCTGGGGTCGTTCCCCATTCCTGGGGGGGTGTCCCCGATCCCGGGGGTCCCCTCTGGGGGGGTGGGGGGCTCTAGCAGCGCCCCACCTTGGCGTCCCCGATGGCCCCCCAGACGTCGAAGACGAACTCGTCGGGGAAGGCGAAGTCGCCGAGCTGCGAGTCCAGAGCCTCGGCCAGAGCGTCGGGGTCCCGAGCGTCCCGGCCCAGCTCCACCATCGTGGCGGCTGCGGGGACAAGGGGACATCAGGGCTGGGGACACCAGGGGGGACATCGGGGCGGGGGACACCGGGGGGGACATCGGGGCTGGGGACACGGGGGGGGGGACATCAGGGCTGGGGACACCGGGGAGGGCAGGGGACAGGGGGGACATCAGGGCGGGGGACAGGGGGGGACATCAGGGCGGGGGACACCGGGGAAGGGTAGGGGATGGGGGGACAGGGGGGGACACAGCAGTCAGGGTTGGGGGACACGGGGACACCGGGGAAGGGCAGGGGACAGGGGGGGACAGGAAGGACACAGGGGGATGGCAGGGGACAGGGGGGCAGTGGGGGACAGAGCAGTCAGGGTTGGGGGACACGGGGACACTGGGGAGGGCAGGGGACAGGGGGGGCACGGGGACAGGGGGGGACACGGCTGTCAGGGCTGGGGGACATGGGGACACCATGGAGGGCAGGGGACGGGGGGGATAACGGGGGAGACCGGGGGAGGGCAGGGGACAGGGGGGGCACGGGGACAGGGGGCGCGACCACGGCTTGTCAGGGCTGGGGGACACGGGGAAACCGTGGCGGGCAGGGGCTGGGGGGATAACGGGGGACACCGGGGGAGGGCAGGGGATGGGGGGGATAACGGGGGACACCGGGGGAGGGCAGGGGATGGGGGGGATAACGGGGGACACCAGGGGAGGGCAGGGGACAGGGAGGGATAACGGGGGACACCGGGGGAGGGCAGGGGACAGGGGGGGCACGGAGACAGGGGGGGACACAGCAGTCAGGGCTGGGGGACATGGGGACACCATGGAGGGCAGGGGACGGGGGGGACAGGGAGATACAGCCCAGCTCCACCACGGTGGCGGCTGTGGGGACACGGAGTCAGGGTTGGGGACAGGGGGACACCGGGGAGGGCAGGGGAGGGGACAGGGGGGGACAAGGGAGGACACCGGGGGAGGACAGGGGACATGGGGGAGACGGGGGGGGACACAGGGGGATGGTAGGGGACATGGGAGGGACACAGGGGGATGGCAGGGGACTGGGGGGATCAGGGGGGACACAGGGGGATGGCAGGGGACTGGGGGGACAGGGGGACACAGGGGGATGGCAGGGGACTGGGGGGACAGGGGGATACAGGGGGATGGCAGGGGACATGGGGACATCAAGGGAAACAGGGAGATGTGAGGGGACATGAGAGGGACATCCGGGGACACAGGGAGATGTGAGGGGACATCAGGGGCCATCAGGGGCCACAGGGAGATGTGAGGGGACATCAGGGGACACAGGGAGATGTGAGGGGACATCAGGGGACACAGGGAGATGTGAGGGGACACGGGGGGACATCAGGGGACACAGGGAGATGTGAGGGGGCATCCGGGGACACAGGGAGATGTGAGGGGACATGAGAGGGAACTCTGGGGAACAGGGAGATGTGAGGGGACAGGGGGGGACACAGGGGACACAGGAGATGTGAGGGGACACATCCGGGAATCCGGGGTGTGGACACATGGATGATGTGAGGGACATTCAAGGGGACATCCGGGGACACAGGGAGATGTGAGGGTAATCGGGGGCACAGGGAGATGTGAGGGGACACGGGGGGGGACATCAGGGACACAGGGAGATGTTGAGGGGACAAGTTGGGACATCAGGGGACACAGGGAGTGTGATGGGGCCTTTCAGGGGACACAGGAGATGTGAGGGGACACGGGGGGGACATAGGGGAACAGGGAGGATGTGAGGGGACATCAGGGGACACAGGGAGATGTGAGGGGACACGGGGGGGACATCAGGGGACACAGGGAGACACGACCCAGCTCCACCACCGTGGAGGCTGCGGGGATGGAGGAGGGACATCAGGGGATGGGGGGATGTCAGGGGACAGGGGGGACAGGGGGGACAGGGGGTTTTTGGGACGGTCCCAGAGGTATTTTTGGGGGGTGTCCCCCAGCTCGCTGTCCCAGATGCCCCTGGAAGTCTCCAGCAGAGCCCAGGAGGGGTTTCGGGGGTCCTTGTGGGGGTGGGAGGGAGTCCCGTGCCTGGGGGGGACTTTGGGGGGGCCAGAGGGGGTTTGGGGACATCCCAGGGGTCCTGGGGAGGGTATTTTTGGGGAGTCTCCCCCAGCCCCCTGTCCCAGCTGCCCACGGAACTCTCCAGCAGAGCCCAGGGGAGCGTTGGGTGGTCCCGGGGATCCCGGGGGGGCTTTGGGCGTCCTGGGGGGTTTGAGTGGGGTCCCACAATCCAGAGGAGTTTTGGGGGGGTCCCGGGGGGGTCCCAAGGGGTATTTTTTGGGGTGGGGGGGTGTCTCACCCAGCTCACTGTCCCGGATGCCCACAGAACTTTCCAGCAGAGCCTGGGGGGCTTGGGGGGGGTCCCACACCCCGTGGGAGGTTTAGGGGGCTCAGAGGGGGTCTGGGGGGCTCAGAGGGGGTTTGGGGGGCTCAGAGGGGGTTTGGGGCTCAGAGGGGGTTTGGGGGGCTCAGAGGGGGTCTGGGGGGCTCAGAGGGGTCTGGGGGCTCCGAGGGGGTTTGGGGCTCAGAGGGGGTTTTGGGGGGCTCAGAGGGGGGTCTGGGGGGCTCAGAGGGGGTTTGGGGGGCTCAGAGGGGGTTTGGGGGCGCTCACCCAGCTCGCTGTCCCGGATGCCCATGTAACTCTCCAGCAGATCGTCCACCTTGGCCACCGCCCGCTCCTCGAAGGCCGAGGGCTGGGGGGGGGAGTCGGGGGGGTCAGGGGGGAGGTTTGGGGGTCCCCCCACCCCTCCCTCCCCCTTTTGGGGTCCCTTACCTGCTCCTCGACGGTGGCGGGGCCGCGGGAGCGCAGCCGGAGGGTCCCCCGGCCCGAGCCCACCTGGGGGGGCCCCCCCCGGCCCCCCCCCGAGCGGGGGGCGATCATGTCTGGGGGGACACGGGGGGGTCAGCGGGGTGAGGGGGGCAGCGAGGGGGGGATTTGGGGGATCCCCCCCAGCAATGAGGGTGGTGGGATTTGG